CTGCTACTGAGAAGAGAATGGACATGTTCTCTGTTCTGGAAGACGGGGGATGGAAGAGTCTTCGGTGCGATTGTACAGTCTCGAATTGGATGCTACAGGAAACAGTCTTAACCTCCAGGCACTGTTTTCCAACTCTGTATTCTTTTTTCTCAGTATCTCATAAAAAATGGTCATTTTCTTATGTATCCATTGACTCTTTTGTTAGTCCTTTTCTTAATTGAGTGCCTTGACTACAAATAGTTTATGTCCAGTCTTCCTATTTGGTAATGGGCAAATAGATGTATTAGGGTGGGAGTGGCAAGTGGCAGAGTTTCAAGCTTTCAAGCATGCTTGGTGTTTTGCAAAACTTGCAAAAAAAAAGAAAAAGAGGTATTCCAAAATTAGGATTTGGGTAAGCATTCTGTACAGAGGAAGATTACAAGTTAATCTGGAAGGGTTAATAGTGAGTGAGAGAGAGGCTGGACGGTAATGTTGAAGGTGATGGGAAAATATCAAGAAAACCAAAGTAGATAGATCAAGAAAAGAGGAAACAGAGAGGAGTACCCAGCTTAACAGCCATGACCAGCAGGATGTGTAACTGTTGCAGCCATGACCAGGGAAGGAGGATGTGTAACTCTTGGAATGAAAGGGCAAAGGGAAGTGCAGTTAGGAGTTCTTCTAGCAGTCAAGTAAGTTGAAGTGACTATAAATTTATTACCGTGTAATGTATATTTTGACTATATGTCTGAATAACTTTCCTTTTAGCTCTGAAGTGTGAATGGTCTCAGACAAGTGTAACAGTGAGGGTGTTTCTCATGTTGCTGATTAACATCAAACCTCAGCTGACAAGTTATGTTAAGATTCTCATTTTCTGTAACTATCTGTCTTCTGTGGTTTATGGTGTCTCTTTCCTAGAAGTGAAATGCTTATTTGAGACTATATGTTTTAACAGAATTTAAGGCTACAAAGAACTTGTATTAACTTTAACTCATTGTATAGAGAACCATCTCAACTGCATTCATTTAGTAAAAATGGAATGTGTTTTTCTACTTCTACAAAGATTAGTGAGCTTCTTTCTCAAAACTTGATTTCTAGCTGAATACAATGGACGTTTTAGTGTCTTCATTCCATGTGGTTTTGTTTTGCTGAAAATGAGAGAGTTTTGTTTCTTTTATTATGAAGAAATGTTTTGCCTTGATGAGAAAGCAATGCTTTTGTGAGTAATGAAGAATTTTTTAGGCTTAGTGCTGGGTGTTCTGATTCCCTTGAGGATATGAAGCTGAACATTTAAATGCTATGTCAAGACTAGTGGTTAGTGGCTGTTACTCCGTGTTACACAGCTGAACAGATGCTTCAGATAGTTTAAGGAGTAGTATAGACAGGTGTTATGCTTTTCCTTACTTCAAAATATCATGTGGGTATTTGTGTTTCTAAATAGGAAAAGCTTTTTAAAAGTTGCTGAAGTTAAAAAAAAAAAAAAAAGTATAGAATCAACTCTTTCTTTTTTCTTTGTGGTTCACCTGTCTCTGAGTATCATTCATTTACATATTTACATAGCTCTTTAGAAATGCTGAGGTTCCCCTGGTTTCACTCCCTGACTATACCATTAACCTTGGTGTGATGTGCCAGGTCTCTTTCTTACTCTCAATTTGCATTGGTTTTCCACGGTCCCAGGGATGTGTGAGGAGACACGCTGCTTCCTAGGCAGATGTGGTGGCAGTGACCTGGGCTTTTAAGTTCTCCTTGTCTCTTTGTGGAAGCACAGGAAGAGCCATTGGGTCAGGACATGCTGCTCAGATGCGTGTTCCTGCTGTCCTGGGAGGGAAGGTATGTCTGTAGCTTGCTGGGGTTCAATAGGAGAGAGCTAGAGTTCTTGCATCTTCTGCAGTGGACATGATGGATTAAAAATATAATCAATGTTAAAAAAAATAGGAGTTTCTGGGGAGTGATGGATGTAGTTCAGTAAGTACCAATTCCAGTACTTTACAGCTCTTGTTCCTGTTTTGTGACTTCCCCATGTCTGAACCACAGGTAAGTGGTGTGTTTTGAAGGGAAGGTGGAACTGCCACAGAGCTCCTCTGACATGCCTTAAGGAGCACATAAGAAAGACCTGTAGTGTGTAGATGTTCTGGACCAAAGGCTTTTTTTTTTTTTTTTTTCCCCCAGTGATCTTTACCATGTTTTGCATTTGCAGGAAACCAGCCTGATGTTTACATGGTTGTGTAAGAAAATGTAATTTAAAATGTTATTTTCATGCTTTAACTCTACTAAGTTTCCATTTTCTGTTGTGCACTGTAGCTCTGCAGCTTAGATCACACAAAAAATTAGCTAAAAAAGTTCAGTTACTTTGTTTTAGATGAGCTGACCTGTATTTCCTTTAAACTTCTAAACTTATTTGTGAATTCTGAGAACTCATAACTAAAGTATTCCAACTCAACTGTTATTGATACTTTTCCTGCCATTCTTTTTCATTGAAAGTGAACCTGTAAATCTGTTCAGCATGTTGCTTTGAAATCACTACGTTGTAAGTGTCCACATACATAAGTATACATATAATGCTGCAAAATTTGATTATCTTTCACAGGGAAGTTTTTACCATTGAAGACAATGCTAGGACCAAGATATGATGAGCAGGTTGCTGAAGAAAATCGTTTTCACCCAAGTATGTTATCCAACTACTTGAAGAGTCTGAAGGTAAAGTTTAAATTTTCCAGGAATTGAACATTACTTTGATTATTAATATTTATTCAAATGTTGCTTTTCAGATTTAGGAAAAAACTGGTCAGTGGCTTCCTTTGGGACAGCTGTGCTGAAATGTATTGTTTACATTTTCAGGTTTTCTCTGCAACTCATAAATTTCTGAAAGTACTTTCTTTACAGGCAAGAATTGTGCAAAATCCTCCATCTCATTCTCTGTATTAGCAGCAAGAATCTTGCTCTTCTGGGTTATAACTGTTGCATCTTGGAGGGGTGTAATTGTCAAAATACAGTTAGTCTTGAGTTTGTAGTTTTACAAACTCTGGCATATGGCTTTGTAATGTTTCAGTTTTGCTTACATGAGTGAAAGCATTGGAAAGTGAAAGGAGAATTTCGTGGAAGTCTTCTGCAGTTTCAATGCATAACTTTCTTCATTTGATGCACAGAATATTTCATGGTATCTAATCAGTCATTCCCACATATGGAAGTGAACAATTTATGGGTTTTCTCCATTAACTTCTAGTGAAAATAAATACATAAATAGAAAAAAGAATTAAATTAGGGACATGGACTGGGACTCAGGAAGGTGAATTGTTGCTCTGGTTACATATTTGTGCTTCTGGCTTATTTTTTTAATTTTCAGTTTGACCCATTTCTGTCTTGCGTGTTACTCTGCACCATAGCACAACTTTGACAATAAAGATAGGAAACAGGACCTTTCCAGCCTTTCATGGAGGTCTGTGAAGTGTTGTGCCCAGTCCAGTGCCTCTGGAAATGTGGAAAATGGGATTTTGAACCTCCCAGGCAGAGGGAGGCCTATAGCCTAATTAATTTAAGCATTGTTTTATTTTTGGCTGTGTTTTATAAAACTAATCACACTAGTGACATTTTTTCTGCTTTTTTTTTTTTTTTTTTTTTTTTGCTGTTGATCTAAATAGAATTAACTTTGAACTTGTTTAACAGTGTCAGAAGAATCGGTTGACTAGAATATGGAACTTTCATTTTATTAATCTTATTTAGGCTTAGGTGTAAAGTAGATGAGTGAGCTACTACTCGGTGTGGCAGTGATAGAAGTACTTGTGAGCTAATGTGATACCATGTGTACCAAAGTATTATCAGTGAAGAGCATGAGCCTGTTCTCAGGTGCTTGAACTGGTAGGATTTTTCATGTTTGAGTTCTTGGATCTATGCATCTAAATTCTACTTGAATTCCTCTTTTATGCATTATGCTGTTTTTGAGTCTGACCAGCTTTTATGGGCATGCCTAGAAATTTTCCAAAACCAGTCTTATTCGCAGTTTAAAGTGATTCAAAATTCTGAATATTTTGAAGTTCTAGAGAACTTCAGAGACTTAATAAAAATTTATGACTGTTCGCTTGTTAGTGGTTTGTCACCAAAAAAGAAATCATGGTGAGCCTTTGTAGACTTTCCACTAGACACATTAAGCAGTTGTGTTGCAATACTACAAATTCATCATGTCTTGAATGACATCAGATGATTAGAATCTGATGGTACAATTATGAGCATGAGGATCCCCCCTCATAGTTTGGTAATTTGGATTAAGAAGCAGAATATAAAATTTATCTCAAACTCTCTTATCAAATCAATATTTTCTTGAACTGTGGTATCATTGCTAAATGTTTGCTATTTGAAAATGTTCATTTTTTATTTGCTGAGATATGCAATAGGTTACTGGAGAGCTCTGTTTGTAGAACAGCTGTTTACCAATAGTCTGGCAATAAGATGAATGGGCAATTGAGGAGGCACTGAAAAGTGGTTATTCCCAAGGCAACAGCAGCTCACTGTGCCTGGTTCTCATCTTTTTACTGCAGTGTGTTTTACTGCTGATACTTAACAGAATGGATCACTTCTCAAACCTAGTTATTACTTCAGTCCATATAATTTATCTCCCAAATAAGAGACTTCAGCAGAAACTTCTACATCTGGATTTTGGTAATACTGAGATATTGCTGCTACTACAGATTTTTGAAACTACCAGTTGAGCATTTAAGTTAAGCATCTGTCTGGGAAGAACTTTTTCTAACAAACTTCCTGCGTGATTCCTTTTCTCATGGAACTGGTTGCAGGAAAACTGAATGCTAGAAACTGATTTGATAGCAATCCTTTTTTTCTTCTGGTTGCCAATATTGACATAGCATTTTAATGGTCTCATAAAAAAAATTGCAGAAGCAACTGGTGACAGTGTGAACTTTTTCTTTCTTTCTCGAGTAGTTTAGTACCTTTTTGCATTATAAAAGGTACCTTTATTTCTGTTGTGAAGAACTAGGACATCAGCTAACTAAAAAGAATGTTTGGGCAGTTAGTATGCTCAAGTTACAATTTTCCTGTTAGGAAAACTAGTCACTAGTTTTCCACCATGTTGTTGTTTTAACGGATAAATTAAATCACTGATTTAAATTATTTTCCTCAAATAAGAAATGCAAGGAAAAAAAATCCTGAAACTGGAGAGAATTCAGTGTATTGTAGTGTACTCTCTCCCTCCTGGGGAGGATGTTTTCAAGTCCAGTGTCTAATGAGAAACTTCTGGGGTCATACAAGGGGAGGAGAGCTAAGGCCATTTCATTGCACAGCAGCAGCAGAGTGCACACATAAGGCATTGATAGCTGGAGATAGCCTGAGTGTGAGAGAGTGAGGAAGAAGTCTATTAAAACTGTAGGAGGACATAGAGAACCTAGCCAAAACAGGTATAAGGAGAATGGAGGTGGTATGAAGATTTTGGTGTTATTGTATGTAGATGAGAATTTCAGGCCATCGCTGAGCTTTTTTTCCAGTCGTCTTTTACAATTGAAAGCAGGAAGAATAACTAGCTTGAATTGTGTTTCAATGTGGTGTCCAAGATTGTAGTGTTGCAACAGTCCTTGCAAGAAATAAATGTGTGTTTTAGTGAGAAGTTGCTCAACAATTTAAAAATTATTCTTTCTTCCAAAGCAGTGTCATTCAGTGGGTGTGGTGAACTGAAAGACGTGATTAAAGCAAAACGTTGACTGGGGAATCAGCTTGTTGGGTTTTGTTTGTTTGTTTGTTTTTTCTCCAGTAAATGACTATTTTAGCTTAGTCTTCTACTACTGAAGTAGCTTGTATTTCTGTGAAACATAGTATTGAGAGCAAATAAGGCATTCTGAATATACAAAACTGAAGTAAACAAAGAGAAAACCAGAACTGGTTTGAATATTACCCTACAAATGCTTAATGCTGCTTACGTGATGTTATGGTTCTTTTTAATATCTGAGAGATAAAAGTATTATGAAAGTACAGAAGTATTATAAAAGTATATAATCAGAACTTTGAATACTGTGGATAACTACCTCTGTAGATAGTGTGAATTTTATCTTTGGAGTCTACTAAACAACATATCCATGTGAAACAGCTGCTTCTGAACTGTATTCCAGTCATAATTGTAATTTTTCTTTTTTTTTTTCCTTGTCTGGAAGCAGTGTTTCAATTTATAATTCTTCCAGCTGCACTGTGAATTATTGCCAGTCCATCGACCTTAACAGAAATAGAACCTGATCAAAATCCTGTTATTAGTATCTGCTGGAGTTTTAAATATATTGAAGTGGCAGTGTTCTATGTTTTTGCATGTATAACATTCTTCAGTGTTAGCGTATTTTTAAGAGTACTACTGATGTATCTTTAAAAAAGAAAAAGCTATGGAACAAGGGTGTGGGAAACTTATTTTCTTCCCCACATAAGTCTAAACAAGATGCCAGTTTGCAAAACTGGCACTCTTAAAGTGCCTTTTAAAAAGACAACTGCTTTCATGGTGAGGATCCTACTTGTAAGCATGACATTCAGCAGTTTGACCAAAAGCAATTACTTTCGAGGCAGGAAGTGAAAAATACTTTCAGTAGACAGATGCATCAGTGAGCTGCTTCGGCACAGTAATGTTGGGAGGTTTATGGTTGGTGGAAATTTTTTATGGACCAAGGATCAATAGGATGCACATTACTGATGTTCTCTGTGTGTTGGATGCCACCCAGTGGAATTACTGCTTTCCATTTTGCTTTCAACAAACATTGTAGCTTCCACAAGGCTGCTTTAGAAGACCCATTTTACAGATACAGAAAATAAAAAGTAAGTTGGTGCACAAGGGGACACATTAGGGTAGAGTGGGGAAGGCAGCCTGAGTTCAGGTCTGTTGTAACATCTGAGTGGTTGAAACTTCCACTATGATTACTGGCAGCATCTTTGAAGATTTCAAGTTGTTTCACATTTTAGCTTTGGATAGAATATTTCAGAGAATTTAAGGGAATTCTTGTTGTATACTAAAAAATATGTGAGCTTGTCTTGCACTCTTAATTTAGGGAGATGTGTATATTACCATGAGTTATTTTCTCTGAGAGTGTACTTGCACATGAGTCTCAGTAGTCAGTTTTTCTTATTGTACTTTCACCATGCCAGTATTTAATACTGTTCTACTTCAAGTATATGAGTACCCAATTCCACCTTATTTGTCTTTTAATGTGTTAAAATCATTCTTTACCATATACTTTCTGCTTTTAGCAGATCTTACTTATTTAGAAACATTGGTGGGAACAAAGAGAAGTTTCTTAATTGATGACTAGTTCAAATTCAGACACCAGCTTTCCCAAAGAAACAGATGATTGTGATAGTGATAAAATATGGATTTCATGAACAAATGCAATATTTAACAATTTTTAAACTTGCAACTGTAGCCTGCTGTTGCTTTTAATTTGAATGTTGTTAGCTGTTCAGTATTTATGCACTGACATTTGAACTACATCTAAGTTTACTTTGATTTTTTGTTGGTTTTTTTTAGGTTAAAATGGGTTTACTGGTAGACTTGACCAACACCACTAGATTCTATGATAGGAATGATATAGAAAAAGAGGGAATTAAATATATAAAGCTCCAGTGTAAAGGGTAAGTTGTCCGTGCTTTTTTAATATTTAGTTTTTAATTTGAAAGATCACATTGAAGTAATTACTTTTTTTTCCTTTTTTTTTCTTTTCCCCTCTTCCCTTTCCCATAGTCTCCTAATTTGTGTGTTCCTGTTTTTCAGGCATGGTGAGTGCCCTACACCTGAGAATACAGAAACATTTATCCGTGTTTGTGAACACTTCAGTGATAAGAATCCCTCAGAGCTTATAGGTATGTCTCCTTGTGTTCTTTATATCCATCATTAGTTTTTACTGTTCATTTATTTCATATTTATTTGTAACTGCAGGCTCTTATTCTTCAAAGACTAAGCAAAGGAATTTCCTCAGCACAGGGTTAATGCATATATAGATTTGATTGCTTTTACTCCAGAAAGCAATATGTTTCTGTTTTTCACAGAAACTAGGATGTTTGAACATCCCTGAATTTGGTTACAGCTATTGCCTTAATACAGAAAATACACAGACTTCCCAACAGTCTACAAATACACGATCCTTGCTTTCTGTTTTTGTAACTTCTGCTGATACAAATGCAAGTGATGTATTGCTAAGTATTGTTTTGGCATGTGATGGTCTGGCTTAGTTGGAGTCATGCTTGGTAACTGAATTATTAGAGAATACCTGATTATTGTTGGAAATCAGTCATAGATGTTAAGCTAAGTTTTCCTTCTGTGTCGTATCCTCTTGAGTGAATATTTTAATGTTAACTGTAATTCCTATTTTATTTTTTTTTATTCTGAGCATAGTGAGTTCTGAATTTAATATTGGTGGCTTCTAGTTTTAGTTAAAACCATTTTATTCTGATTTCTGTTAAGCATATTAACTCTGTCTACAAACTGTCAAGAGACAAGAAATTACTTTGCAGCTGAGTTTCCAAACTCAGAATGGGTGTTGTCCTCAAGCCTCTCTGTTTATACTCTGTAACCTTCCTGAATCTTGAGTGTCTGCCTATGAGTGCCTGGAATCATTGTTTGTGTATCTGTCATTGAGAAGAGCTTGGTAAACTAAGCTGGTACGTTCATACCGTTCAGGATTCGTGCAGAATGACAGAATTAGTTGGGGCTGTTGGAGGGGATCTGTGTAAATCAGCTAGTCAGGTGAAGCTACCCTTCCCTAGAGCAGGGCCAGCTAAAGCAATTTGCTCAGGACTGCTCCCATTTGGGTTTTAACCATCTCTCTGCCAGATAAAGCCAGCCTAGAGAGATGAGCCTAGAGGTGGTGTGGTGGTCAGGTCACCTCACTGGAGGCCCAGCTTAAATGCCTTTATACAAATGCACCCAGTATGGGGAATTAACAGGAGGAATTAGAGATGAGGGTGAGCCTGCAGGGCTGTGATCTCATTGGCATCACTGAGACCTGGTGGGATGGCTCCTACTACTGGAGTGTCAGAATGGAGGGTTATAAACTCTTTAGGAAGGACAGGCAGGGGAGATGAGGTGAAGGTGTTGCCCTCTATGTCAAAGACCAGCTGGAGTGCATGGAGCTCTCCCTGGGGATGGATGAGGAGCCAACAGACAGCTTGTCACGATCCGTGACCTATTATATCTCCTTGTTGGAGTGTATTAACTTATCAGGATTTGCTGAGAGATCCACA